CACTCCTATAGTTTCCATACTTTCCTGTACTGTGATTGGCTTGTATAGGATCTACCAATATAGTCAAGGAATAGAAAAATGTCAAAATGAATTCTTTCATTTTGGTGATGAAGTGCTAGTTTTGCTTGCCAGCATGCAGGGTTCAATAAAAGCAGACAGGTCTTCAAAAAATTGCAGCATAAATAGATGAACTCTTTAAAGTAATATAAGTTCTGTCATCTGGATGTGAAATATAGACCTAAGTGCCTGCCGAAGTAAAAGCTGACCGCACATTCCATAGATAAGTGTTAAAGTTTTCTCAGAGTGTCTTGGGCTGAGAAATGTTTTAACTACATATCTCCTTGCCACAATAGACAGAATGAAAGCATTTGAAGTTAAATCCATTTTTCAAAGGAAGAAAACAAAGCATCCATAAAGAAACAAAGGCATATCACAGGATGAGGTCTCTAGATAGCTACTGTTTTCAGGAAAGTTGCAATTAGCTGTGCAATGGGGAAGGTGAACCTACTTGTATTTCAATAGCATTTATAATGATTTCAGTAGCTAGAACGCTGATAGGTATGTGCAGGGGGTTGGTTTTAAGATTTCCTTGTGAGACAGAAGGTCAGGATTCCTGTGGTCTCCTGTCATATTTAATTCATATCCTCTGGCCTTCTTCACCACATTTATTGAATTACAGGAATAAAATTCAATGAACCAAAAACAAAAGAAGAGAGGACAGGGCAAATCCTGATTTCTTTTACAGCCCTACTGCACAACTGACTTCAGTGGGTTTGTAAGAGAGCACCTTAAAGCAGAATTTGAAAGAAGGGGAAGGTACAAGTTAGTATAACCCCTCTCACCACCCCCACAATTGCATCCAAGTAATTTATTGCAAGGAGCAACTATTTGCATGTGGGAGTAAGGATCCAATTTCTACCAGACAAGAATCTCTCTGTATACTTTTTAAGGCTACTCTTTGTGTACTCCCTGTATGTTTATCAGATTCCTTCTTGCCACAAATGAGATGGCAGCAGAATGGCTTTTCAAAACCATTCTTCAGAAAAGCGTTACTGGCAATTCATCACATGAGTACTGAGATGCAATCCTCAAATGTGTTAAAAATACCAGTTTCAGGGAAGTGCCCTATTGGCATGCTTATCATGATGATTCCCTGCAATCATCTTAATTAAACTGATGATACAACCTTTATTCTCCCTTCACAAGCGAGATGCAATAAGCAGAGGGTTTCCAACAGGCCTGCAGTGTGAACTCTACTGCTGGAGCACATGAGAGCTCTAGACATGCTCTGTGATTTTGGGGAAGAAGGTTTTGTGGTGTCTCTTCTGCTCCTATTCTCCTATTTTTATTGTCCTGTATGCTGCCTCCAAGAACTGGGCTGTTTTGGGTATGACTGTGGATCACTCAGATTTCTCAGCTACCTCTTCAGTCAAATCTACATACAGTGTCTGCACTGTGGTTTAGACATCCATACAGTCAAAATAGTGCAATCCCCTAGTGTGAGCACAGTCATATCAGAACTTCACACAAATAACCTGTACCAGTACCCAATAACATCTTTACAACAATGTAATTTGTTTTCAGAGCTAGGTATGTACAAATCTGGTTGTTGAGTCTGACTCAAAATATTCATCAAAAAAAGAAGACATTAAATGTTTTGAAATTCTATCCAAAACTGCAAGCTCACCAATATTTAGCTTTGGCATTTGAATTTTTGGAAATGTCACAGCTAATAAATAATGTATTATTTTCTGAGCTACAACGTATGTTTTTATTTTAAAACTTGAATCTGCTTAACTTCCTTCTTCTCATGTACATATCAACCTATGGAATGGCTGCCTTTCTACTTAATACATTTAATAAAGGTGACCAGATGCTTTGTGTTTTTAATGGCTTGTTCTGCATCCCAACAAAATGTCCCTGTTTTGGCTGCGATTGCAGATGATTCATTCTGAAAGCCTGCCCAGCTGCCCTGACACAGCTGAGGCAGGGCACAGTTAAAAAACAAGCCATCTGTGCAAAAGAAGTGGGCTGGAGGAGTGCTTTGTCAGGAAAAGACTGTCATTTCTTGGTCACTGTGTTTTCTAGGCATCCAGTAACCCAAAAGTCCTATGGGTCCAACGTCTCCGCCTTTGCAGTTAGATTTTGCAATTATATCCCATGTCCCATCATATTCTCTTCCTTCCCCCCTCACTTAGAAACCCTTCAGCCTGCTCTGCTATATAAAATCGTGTGTAGATCAAACATTTCTGTAAAATGTAAGATGTTGATCCCACTTTCATTCTTTCCAATCATATGGCAAAATTCCTGACCCTGTAGCTGCATCAGCCAAGCCTCATGCTAGAAGAAGCAAGAGGGATTCATTTATGGCTTTTCTGAATAATTAGCTCTTCCCAGTTCTGTATTAGCATCACTCTATTGTCAGCGGTGCCAAAAGAGACATCCTGCATTCATGAACAGTCGCGCCACTCGCTTGCAGGCTAGCCGAATTCAAGGGCAAAATCCTACCCGCAGGCAAAGCTCCCCATTGCCTCAGCAAGAGATAGACACGCATATTTGAAGGCAAAGTCTGGTCTTGAGTGTGTCATTGAGATAAGCCACTTCAAGCCTTGAGAGGGTTCTGGCCCCACAGCATCTTTCACATGACCTGCAGGCTGCATCGTGAAGCAGTGCTGACACTTTCTCCCTGCCCCGACGATGGAGCGTACAGCAAGAGCAGCTCGGCAGGACACCGCCGTTCCGGGGTAGGAAGTAAAGGTTCCTGTCAAGTTTTCTTTACAGCCTATGTTCTCTAGCATTTGAAAGAACCATTGCAACTCAAGTCATCTGGCATGCATACGAATGACAAATATGCTTCAGAGGCAATAAATTAGCAATTTCAAGGCTTTACTTCCCCTCATGGACTAATTGCCAGAGATTATAGTATATTATGAGAGAGCAATGATACTAATGCCTAAATATGCTTCAGTGATTATAGAGCTATCCTCAATAACCAAGCTGTTTAAATGTCAATGCAAGAAAGCTCTTTATTATGAGATTAAATATTATTTTGAAGCAATGCAATAGGAACTTCCCAGGCTTCATGCCTGCAATAATACTGTCTTGGAGCAATATATATTAGACAAGCTATGCTTTTTTTTAAATGTGTACAGTAAAGGGTCCCAAAATATTTTTGTGCTGCAAACTTGAGGAGCATTCCTGATAAGAAAGAGGATCTTGGTATCTTTTTATTTTTCATTTGTTACTAACATGCTGCTGCCTTCATTCTTTCCTCCACTTTATATTAATACTTGTGTATCACCACTGTATAGAGAAGATAAATTCTTGTTTTCTGTTAGTGTAAGTGAGTGGGGAATCAAACCTCAAAGCCCTTTTCTTCTTTTTTACATGTCTAAGTACCTGTGTCTTGCATAGATGCTTTTGACAGTCATACCCTTCACACCTCAATACATCTGCTTATACCCAGCATTGGGAGAACCCTGGAAATTCGATGGAAGCTGCAACTTTCAGGTTTAGCTGTTGACATGAGGCAGAGAATAAAAATGTCTTTAGGCCATAACTCCAATTCCACTGGAGATGACAGTTGGTGACCACAAGCTCAGGTGTGGATTTAAAAGGGAGGGAGGCTAAAAAGACTTTAGCATCCCACTAATCTCACATAGGACTCTCACACTATGGATCTTGTCACACAGCTGTTCAGCCTTCCCCTATAGATGACAGCAGCATTTGCCCCCGCAGAATACTGCAACATTTTTTCAAGAAAACCCTAAACACTGCAGTGGGAACTGATGGTAGGACGTGGCTGCTCTGCTGTCCAGATCCAAGATGCCATCCCCCTCCTGTTGTTTCTAAAACTACCTGGTACGATGTCCACCATGTTTCATAAATGCAAATCAAAAGAGCTACATGGTCAAAGATCACATCTCATGTTCCCTAGTATTTGAAGATATTTATTTATCTCATTTTGAAGATGTAACTTAAAACAACAGAGGGTAAAACTCATCTAGGAGGCTGCACATTTTAGTTGGCTGCTAAATGTCAGTGGAAGCTCTAAAAATATTGTGAATGTCTTTGAATCTGAAGCTTGATTTCTAGTAAACTTAGTAATTGTAACTAATAATTACTATAATAGTACAGAAAACATATAGATAGGCCTGCGGGGACACATCATGTAAAATTAAGGACACAAATTACAGAAAGACAACTGCTAATGAAGTTGTGGTGGAATTCTCTCTTGAAAATAATTTTTTTTCTTTAGGAAGTATTGTTTCTTAAACATAGCCTGCAGATCTCTTCCATGGTGTGCTCCTGAAGTAGAGAGGTGCTTCACATATGGATGACCTGGGAACGTACTAGCAAGAGTTCCATTATGCCCAGCTGTAGCAGGACTGGACACGTGGATCCATGTCCTAATACTTTCTGCTGTAACCTGGCAATTGTTAATTCTGAATTTTTGTTGTTTCATCTTGGCTGATTTCTTCAGCCATTTTATATCTCATCTATAAAATGTAACGCTTGTTTACCTCAGAATGTATGAAACTCTTTCTGATGCTCAGGTAAAAGACACCTGCCATATATGCTCAGAAAAGACATAAATTGCTCTATCGTTTGTAACATTTTAAAAGATCTTAATCTATTAAAATCACAGTGTGACTGACAAGGAACATGCTGAAAGGCCATGAGAATTCTTTTTCTGCTCTTCCAGGCAGACAATAATCTGACATCTTTTTTGTTATGTCTTGACTTAGAATATACGATGGGAAACGATATCTTTATCCTTATAACAGTAATAAACGTATAATACTGATGTTAAGTAAATAACCAGAAGTAATAAGCTGACACTACTCAAAGGAGAATTATGTGGACTTATAATAGAACGGGGAAAAATTACCTGCATTTGGCCACTTTTATGCAAATATTATGTGAAAACAGATTAAAATCCTCTTTAATTTTTTGCAGCTACCTTATGAGATGCCCCATTATTCAAAGCTCTCACTTACCGTATATCCCGGTGCACACATACACTTCCCTGTGATGCTGTCACAATCTGCACCGTTCTGGCAAGGGCAGGTCAGCTGGCAGCCTTCGCCGTAGTATCCAGGGGGACAGGTTTCATTGCAGTAGAGTCCAGCCCAGCCAACTTTGCAGCTACATTCTCCAGACAATGGATGGCAACTAATGAAGACAGACAGACATTAACGAGAAGTGGACATGAAAGAAAAATACTGTCCGTAAACAGCGGTAGAAAGTTTTACATGCAATGCCAGCAAGAGTCACGCTAAGAACAGAACAAACCTGAAAATTGTTAAGGATGGTGAACATAAGCAGCCATATAACTTAAGCAGCCATGTAACTTAGGAAGTGAACAGGGAATATGGTGCTAAATACCAGCCTGGCATGCCACTTCCAAACATCTGGGAGCTGCCACAGCACTGGTAATTTTGCACCGTTGAAGTTTATGCTTTTCCGTTCTCAAATCTATGTGACTTGGATTACTGACATTAACCACAACACAATTAATCCACACTGTTGTATGACATATATGTACCATACTATTTGGCTGTAATACAGTCAGTTAAAGATGTTTGGGGTTAGGAGATATTCCAATGGATGGAGGAATGCAATCAAGAGAGTTGTGAAGATAAACCTGAGTCCTGTGGCACAAATATTCTATTCTATTCTATTCTATTCTATTCTATTCTATTCTATTCTATTCTATTCTAATTTGTGTTTTAAAAGTGAGTGCCACCTCAGCAGAACTTTTCAGCAGGGAGAGGTAGAAAGGAAAGTGCTTTGGAAGAGAAAAATCTCCTTGGAGAAAGAGTTTTGCAGGGAATATTCAGCCATAGTGAACAGAACTGAACACTACATGAAGCCTTGGGATGTATTTGGGGTGGGAGTCAACAGGAGCCCCGGGACTAAATCTCAGCTGTGCAGGGAAATGAGTCAAGTTCCTTTATGCTGAATAATGAGCATTGCTGCCCAACATTAATCCTCTGGCTTTCATTTCTGTTCAGACAATTCCACACTCTTGTGAGAGCACACAGAGAGAAAAGTAGAAAGGAGAATCAAGCCCAGAAGATCAGACAATGCCTGGTCCTTCTGCATCTGCTAGGTGGAAGACTTACTTGTTCCTCCTGCTACGAAACATTTTATCTTTATTCACCATTGTCTCTTCTACAAACAGAAAGAGCATCTGCCTGGTTTCCTTAGGGCACTAAGTTCCCACAGAAGGAGAGCCATGCTGAGGCTGTGGCTGGGGGCTAGAAAAGGAGGGGAAGGCTGCAGAGGTGTTAAGTCCTGGTTTGAAGAGATGGAGGTTTCTGGGGGATGGGAAGGGAGAGCACAGGGGGATGTCTAGTTTGGGGAGATGAGTTGGTCAAAAGAGAGCGCAGGGGATGAAGAGGGAATCTGATCTTTGTAAAAGGACCCCATGTTGTCTGAGGCCAACTGGGAGCGTAAGGCTTCACTTGAGAGCTCGGTATGCTCTGAGGGCCTCTGCACCACAAGATTGTACTATAATAGCACTGTCTAGCTCTCAGTGAGAAAGATGAGAAATAATATTGCTACAAATCAGATTTTCTCTATTATCCTCAGAACACGAAGGAATAGAGTTCTGCAAGGTGGCACCTCTCTATGGACCTGATTTTTTGCCTCATAGAAACTATTTCTTTTCCTTTAAGATTATTTATTGCTATAGTTTAATATTGCAGACATGACTGAATGGGTTTCTTTACACCTATAAAATTAATATCGTATATGTTAATTTTCAAGGTAACCTCATAAAACGTAATCTCCAAGTATGTTTCTGGCAATTACTGGTAGGAGAGGTTAGTCACATACTGTTGTGACTAAGAATGATCAAATTTTGTGAGTGTCATACGTTTCATCATAAATAGTGTTTTACTGACTAATTAAAACAATTCATCAGCTTAACAAACTACCATCCATGAAATTCTTCTGACAAAGCAGTCCCTGAAATTATGGTTGTTCACAAAGCACCTCTTAACATTCAGATGAAAATAATAAAAGCTCGTTTTTCCCCCTCTGTGTCTATTAATCATTACCTAATAGGAACAGAAAGCTAAACATTAAAGAAATATTTTAAAGTGGATTTTTTGTTTCTCTATTTTCTAGAGAATGAAACACATACTGCACATATCATACGGTTCCATGAGAACTGCATCTGTTGGCTAAATTAAATCTTTCAAACGTAATATATGATCATGGCAGTTTGAATCAGTCTATGACAATTCAATTAAAAATACTATATTCAGTAAGAATTTCTACTCCAAGGTTCGTTCCTTCATCAAAATGGACAGCTTTTTTGCATGGGACGCAAGCTATATATTAAGGACTAAAAATCATCCTAACATGCACTAAAACAAGAAGCAAGAACCAAACAGGCTTTGCAGAAGAGTCTGCAGGAGGCAGGGGGGTTGGACTCCAAAACAAGGTCCAGTAGAAGGACTGACACCATACTCTGCCCCCCTAAAGCCTTTTTCAAAACTTTTATGAGGCTATGAGCTAGGAAAAGTCCAATGCAGATGTTTGGGTCCCTGCATCCATATAATCTTCCTGTTGAAGCAATTTTATTATCAGCCTGAGCATATCAGAGTTTTGTTTTTCTCCTAGGCCAAGCACTTATAGTCCTTCAGTGCTTTGAAATACTTATCTTTTGCTATCTTACAGAGTGCTGGCATGGTAGTATTAGGAAAAATCCTCCACATTAAACTCCGGAGATATGGTACCCATAACGATAGTTCTGGGTAGGTAGCAACAGTTGGTGCATAGACTGTACAGCAGAAGAGGGGAAACTTCTCCTTGACAGTAGCAGAATAAATTTTCCCAAAGCTTTTGGCAAGCCAAACATTAACGCACACCACAGTGTTATGGTAGTGTAACAAGCAAAAGGACCTCAAACCTACATAGCTAGGTCTGAAATGAGGTTGCAGGTCCAACCAGGGGACAGAGGAGACATCTCAGATACAAAGAATACAATGCCCTGAATCACACACACTTGTTTGACAATTAAGGTGCCCTGATGGAGTGTTAACTCGAAGATGGCTGTGATTTAGATGCTTAACCAAAATTCAGAAGACAGCTGTTCTCTTCGCAATCCTGCCAGTGAATCTTGGCCACGTAACTTACTTTTTCTGCCTTCATCTTTCCCATCTGTAAAATGATCCTTTCTGCCTTTGAAATCCCTTTTAAGATCTGCAGTTGATATCACTAAGTTTTTATTATTAATTGTCTTTTCTATTCTGGTATGTATGAAGTATTCCAGTAATTAAAGTCTCAGAGTTACGTACGTTGCAGCTCATGATCTAGAAATAGTGTATGTATGCAGGTATGTGTGAATTGAGAATGCTTCTCTCTTATTATATTGGTATTCTGTAAAATTTCATTCTGTTTAAACTATGTACCTAGACATATAACTATAGCTAGGAAACTCATCTATCATCCAGCCAGCCATCTATGCATCCAGTCTATCCAGTGAACTACAGGCTAGCTGCATTGAAGTTAAAAAGTTTGAGGCACTTAATGGCAAATGTGTTAAAGCAAAGAATAGGAAGTACAGTTAGCAATGTGAATTTCTCATATAATTCCTCCCCCCTTCCCCTTCTGAATGTACCTTTCAAGGTCATGAGTCCATGTAACATTTTGTCAGCATGGGGTGCAGCATGTGAAAGGCACTTCTCCATGCCACCAATAAACTGAGATTAATAAAGACAAAAAATTCCTCTGGAGAAGGATCATTTAACGGATGGGTAAGACAATGTGAGGCCTCTGAAAGGATCCCAGAAAGCAAACCCACTAACATCTGCTTTCCAACCACTTGCTGCAAGCAGGAAGGGAACCTTACACTCTTGAAAGGGTTTGGCAGTGTTATACATTAGTATTTCGCATTGAATCTTAACAACATTTATTTCTTCAAATCTCTTGTATAACAGGAAGGAATAGTGCAGAAAACCTAAAGTGAATAGAAGCGGCCAAGTCTTTCTCTGGCACAAGGCCAAATAGAGGTGGAAACTGGAAGCTGTCCACACCGCACAACATGGCGCGAGAAGGAAATTGTTCCGTGGCTCTTGCTGCGGTTTGGAAGCTGCTGTACAGTCCCTGGCTTTTGAGCCACATTCACAGCAATAAAAGATTTATTTTTTTAAATTTACTAGCTGAACTGAAAAACAGTAATTTTTGACCTTTACATTTTTTAAGCATTCAATGTTGAGGAAATCTGAGGAAACCAGGTATTTTAACTTTCTTAAGGCAAACTGGGAAAATAAATGCTTTAGACAGCACAGTCTGTTCCAAATTCTGAATTTGTTCTCCACACATCTTTCAGCCAAAACAACTTCTTCCCAGTGAATTTCCCGACTTTCTAGTGTTTATACACTAGCACCAGTCATCTCATCTTAATTAGCAACAGCCCTAATCATTTTTTAACAGTATTTTCTGATTTCAGTGTTGATACTACATTCAGTCTCCCTTACTAAAATGCCCTCTTGTTTTTAAAGAAGTAGCCACAATGAGGCTGTAGGGCCATGACTTCAGTCCAGCACGTCTTCAAAGCCAGCCTCATTCAAGCGCATTATTGATTTAGTTCAAGGCAAAACTTCATGTACGGTCCTTCCAAACTTCTCAGTGTTGAGGCAATAATTGATGGAATAAAAAATGGAGGTCTAGCCATTTCATTAGACTTCGTCACAGTAGGAAAGTGTCAAGGCTTAAGAGGTCTCTGTGTCTTCCTTCCCTTCTCATGTCTCTGACCTGGGAAAGACATTACTAAAAGCATATGGCTCCACATGCTGGCTCCACACTAGTGTTCAAGAAGGGTGGGTGGCTGAGACTATTCCAGCTATTCATTTCCCTCTCTGCTTTTCAGAAGAGCAAGCCAGGATTATGCCTTTCTGACTGTTGTGGACTGTCTCAACATGGGTTTTTTGCATGGGGAAATTTTTTACAGGTGTATCCTTCCCTGTGGAAGGACAGTCCAAGTTACCAGTGCATTCTAAATTACCTAATTCTGGGGTTGTTCAAAAGCCCTGTACAAAGTGCCTTTCGGTGTGCTTTGATGCAGAAATTATTGGATGATGTTCTTCAGCCATTACTATGCAGGAAGTTAGGCTAGTCTCTTCAGACATTAAAATAGAGCTATGAAAATAGAAAAGCTGATTGTGTATTTCTTAATGTTCCTCCCCAACCTGCTCCTCAAAGCCCCCAGAACTTTCCGTTCCAGCCAGCTCTCCAATAACCAGACCAAATGAGTCAAAACCACTGACAGGAATAAGCAAGCTTCCCTCACCTTCTTTCAAGTGTTTATATAATTATCCTACATGCTTAGGTATCGCAACAAGTAGCCGACAGTTTAAACTGCTTCTGGGGAAAACAGACAGCTGTATTCAGTAAATGAATCACTTTGGAAGACCACAGTTCCAGTAATGATAAAAATTCAGGGGAGGAATGGGAGGAGGTGGGTGGAAAGAGAAGTGTGCTGTATGGGACTGGTTAAACGATCAGTAAAAAGATTTGTTCAGAATATGGAGTGCCTTTGGAGAAGGTCATTTTCCATCAACTCTGACACTCCTCAGCTCAGAAATTGACAGCTCTCTGAGGAGCTCATTGAAAAGTGGAAAGCTGAAATACTATGGATGAATGAAAGAACATTTACAGATCTACAGCTTGCTGATATCTCTTTGTTCCATAACAGCAATGATAAGATGTAGGAAAAAGGGGGATTTTATCAATGGAGAGACTAGACTCATTTATTAGGGAAATGGAGATACCATCTTAGCAGAGCATGCTGGAAGAGAAGCTGACAGAGCAGTGATGGGAGGGAAGGCATAAAATATATCTGTCAGACAGCAACCAGGCACAGGTCAGGTACATGGTATGTAAGAATGACCACATGCCCAGAAAAGAGCTGTGAGAGGATTTGATCCTCCACCTTTCTGAGCTCTCTCAAACTTGAGACCTCACCTTTCTTCACAGCTGGATGGTTCTGGAAGTTCTTTCAGGAAGGATCTTCTGGCAAACGCCCAGAACATCTCCCAGGTAGTTCTTGAGTAACCCAGGATGAACCCCCTGGGTTGAACCCTTCAACCCAGGGGGTGAAGACACACTGTGTCAGCTACTATCCAAGAGTATATTCTCACCCTCCAGTACACATGAAGAACAGCTTTCACTGAGGAACAGTTTGCCTTGTATTTACCGCAGGTTTAAGTCGTGCATACTGGTAGGTACTGCAGAGTAGTGTGACATGCAGGAATTTATACCTTAGCTGACTCTGCAGTAATTCTTGAGACATCCCCTATCCTCAGTACAACACAACATTAATCTTTTGTGTAAAATGCTCAGCTCATGCCTTAAGGATATTACTTTTTGCAATGATTTCACGATACACAAAATAATCAGAAGTGATAGAAGCCTGTTGTACAGAGCTACCTTTGAGGTGTCGAACACTTTGGATCCTTGCTGTCAAACCCAATAGAGCTAGAGCTATCTTTCTGTAGAGGACTCATGTCATCAGAATTACAAGGATTTTAAACAATCCATTGTGAGCTCTGACTTTCAGTTAAGCAAAACCTCACCACTCACAGTTGAACTTCAATTCACAAGAAAGATCACCTGTTTATTCCCAAGACTGAAACAAATAGAGTCTATCTCAAGCACACAAACAGATTTGCCTGAAGTGTTTGTGTGTCTGTATGTGTGTGTGTGTGTGTGTGCGTGCACACAAATTAGGTGGTATTGCTTGCATACATAATTGAGGAGAGTGTTTATATTTTAGCAGGCTGCAAGATTGCAAGGTAGGTTTGTCATCACCAGCAAGACAGTCCGGTCTCTGCCTGTCTGGTTTAAAATTGAAGAATGTCCGTATCAAGGGCATATTTGCTTGGACATCAATTATCCCCACCTCCCTCTGAAGCCTACACAATCCTGAATTGGCTATGAATACTTAACAGTAATGGACAGAAAAAGGAGGAAATCAAGTGGGAGCTGAGGGGCTCAGCATCTTGCAGGCATGGTAAGGAAGTGTGGGCACTCTAGTCCATCAGAATAGCTCAGGCCGGGGTGTTTTTGCTGTCCAAGCTCCCTTTACTGCATTTGAGGGAGTGGGGAATCTCCAAATAGCAATTCCAGCAGTCAGTAAACAAGGCAAGGAGTTACAAAAGGTAACAAGTAGGATAATAGGGAAGAGTCTTAAATTCTTCCTTTTTTCGGGGTTCAGAAAACTTATTCAAGCCTGCAACAGGAAAGTAAATTCAACCTATCTCATGTTAGGAGCTCAAGTCTGTTTGTGGCTCTAGCTCTTAGTAATGAGAACCGCAAGAATCTGATCCTAAAAAAAAGCAAAAGGGAATAAAACATCGAAACCTGACCTTTTAAGTGAGACTTATTCCATTTTAGGTATACTTCCCTGATATTTATTTTCCTGAATATTTCACACATACACATACTGAATAAAGAGCAAAAATACGCACACATGAAAAGAGATGTCTATTTTGACAATGTTGACTTCATTACAGTTCCATAGACTGACTTGGGGTATTGATTTTGGTCTATTTATACATCTGCCGCAAGTGTTTTCAACAAGGCAATTTGCCACGAGACATAAACTGAAGCAAATTAGGTTTCATTTTGAAAGTCCCCTTGCTGTCTATAGATCTAACAAGAAAACCCATGTCATAAAAAGAGCCAAAATGATGGATTTGAGTAAATACATCTATGTTTTTTAAATTTCAGTGGGTTATTATACATACATATGGGCATCACATGATAGTTCTTATGCCTAGAAGACTGCAGTTACAGGATAAGGCCATATGTCAGATTGTTTCAGATTTTAGCAGAACTATTTAAATAGTTAACAGTTACGTGCTTAGCAGCTGGCTACACTGAGGCTTATGGCTCCAAACCTGAGGTCATTTAAATCAAAGGCTGCAATCCAGAGGAGCTGTCTGGGTACTTAATTAAAACTACAGAGAAAAAGGGAGTAAGTGTAGTTAATTGAATTTTTTCCCAATTTTTTGACCAGTCCCTGCACTAGTATATAATATGATGTACATACCTGAGAGTGTTGGTAATATTGCAAGGACATCTCTTGTTGCATTTGAGGCCATAAAACCCTTCTGGACACATTCTTTCTTGGCAATAAATCCCTTTAAATCCAGGGTCACACATACACGCTCCATTTACATGATAACATTTTGCACCATTTTGGCAGTCACATCTTTGTGTGCACTGAAAGCCGTATGTCCCAATAGGACACTCTTCTTGACACCTGCAATGAAATATGTGAGATAGGATCCAACCAAATGCTATAGTCTAGTCTGCTTATGACTTTTACACGGGAATGTTTTTGTTAATGAATTAAGTACAAATCATTGCTCATTTATTTAAGTAACATACTGTGAACTGATGATGTCATTGGAGTGATGTGATATCTTGGGCATGTAAATTGCTGTTAACTGAAAGTACATTAATCTCTGTCCAATTATAACCTGCAAAATTTGCATTAGTTAATATTACCTTAGTTAACAAAGTGCATTCTTGTTTCCTGGACGCTGACAATTCCATTCATCAACCATAAGAAATTGATATAAAATAAGATACTTTATGAAAAAAACCTCATCTGTTGGCTTTCTCTTTATTACAGAAGGATTGTGCACCTTCTTTAAAAGCATACAGTCCTCTTAGTGATAATGAGGATTGAAAGAGAATGTGGTCTGTTAAGCAATATTGAGTAGTGTTCTCCAGCAACGTATAGTTTTACTTTCCCTCTATGCTGTCATTGCACCAGCTTTATACCAACTAGGAGAAAATACACTCCTTTGTCTTTTGTGTGTGTTCTGAGTAAGTAAAGCTCAAATTTGCTTTTCATCTTTTACTCCAGGGATGCTCAATAGTATCAAATCTCAAGACAAATCACTTTCACGCTCCTTAGTGTAGTATCTTCTCCAAAATTGCCAACATTTTTAATATTTGATACACATAAAAATGGAACCTGCAAACACTATACACAGATTGTTTTAAATTGCACCTTCCATGCACTGTTTAAAATATTTCCCTACTGGATACATTATGAAATCTGCCAAAAAGTCTGTTTCATTGTCCTACACAACCAGTTTAAGTGTTCATAATATTTCCTATTTTGAAAAGCTCAACTAAGGTCCTAAAGACAGCAACTGATTCTGTGCTTGACATAATTCAATGGTTTCAAAATTCTGCAATGAGTCAGTACTACAGTTTACATGATCCACCGTGAAATACAGATAGGCCTTTTCAGTTAATAAAAAAAGAAGAAGAAGCCCAGAAAAGTCCAATTCCCTTATCGCATGGATGCCAGATATTGGAAATTGCCTATCAGCATTAATTTAATCCTGAGCATTGATTAAAGTGTATACTGTAAACTCAGTGGATAGAGGCAATTGTTAAATGTCTTTCTGCAGGTCATTTCACAGCTGGCAGGTGAGAGTTAATATAATGATCAGTAATAAAAGATTAATGTGTAATGCAAGCCAGGCAAAACTGCAGTGAACACAGTCAGTATATAAGAAGAGCATTACTTTTGCAGCTTCAGATCATCATGTTTTGCTAAAACTAAACGAAGAAAGCAAAAGGCCTAGCTAGTGATTTAATTGCAGCAAGCATCAACACAGTTACTAGTTACACAATCCAAGTTCAGGAGTTCATATGAGACCCGAAGAACAAGGAGCCTGTGACAAACAGGAAGGGAAAGAAAAAACCAGCGGTACTGGCTGCTAGCCCTGCTGCTCTCAGGGTAGTTCAGCTGCAAAGGAAATAACCAGCAAAGAATGGATAATATTAGGACTGAAACACTTAAAGCAAATGAAATGCAATGAAGAATATATTAAGATGCCTTATGTCTCCACTGCTGTATACAGCTCTACTAGTTAGCAGGAGAGCACTGTACTCAACGAGATGAATACTTAGTCAATAGTGCACTATATCATTCTATATTTATAGAAGATGAAGCATTACCTAGGAGGGAGAAAAGCATCTGGAAATGAAATATTGACGACCTAATCCATTTACATAATTAGCCTTTTTCTACTAACAATTTAACCAACTTATTTATTTGGAGATCAAGCAGCTACTGCTAATGAATTTTATACAAAGAATACTAATAATGACTCCTCTGGAACATAAGAATAATCAAAATAGCTTTCTACTTAAACATCTTTCCTTTGCAACATATCAATCTAATGTGTCCATAGCACCATTAACAACCAGATACATTGTTCAATTAAATTACAAAATGAGCTGCTAAGCCCTAGTTATGTTTCTTGTTTAATTTACATTGCTTTCTGCCTATCTGGGGAGATCCGTATTATAATATCCACTGAACTTTAATATGTACTATAATTATTTGGGTTGGGATAGGATAATATGGCTGTCACCTGTAGAATTAATGGAAGCAATTTCACAAAATATTAAATATAAGACAGCCTGCTTAACAGATGAACTTAGTACATACACCTACATTTTTTCCAGATAAATTTTTTTCATGGAATAAAGCTGTGAAGTATTTTAGGCTTTTCTGTTTGTTTGTTTGTTTTGAAACGGTGATCACATTTATGTAGCACAGAAAAATATTAAAAGCCATCCAAAACACACTAACCTGGAGATTGCCATTCTGTTGATAAAAGATACAGGTACAAACACAACAACAAGAGAAGTCTGCTTATATTGTTATAACAAATGTGGTATTTATTCTGCTAAGATTCAATCTTTAGATTTAATGGCAATATGGAAAACAAAGCTAAAACAGTATGTTCACTGTTCCTGTCAGCCACTGAATTCTTAGACACCCCATCCTCAGCTTCTAACTGTGCTTCTGTGATTATTCCTTTCCAGTTTGCAAAACATACATTTACATGACATATCCAGTCACTTTAGCAGAGCACAAAGCTTCTTGGAGTTATCAATAGTGCTTGCCAATTTCCTAGATATTTAGTGCAGTGCCACTTCCTGGAAAACAGGTTGGGAACAAAGTGTGGCAATTACACTTACATAGACCTTTATGACCATTTCATCTCCACAAATACTTATCTAACTATATGTTATTATCTTCTGCACAAGACGTTGAACTGTAGTATTTTATAGCACTTATTGACAATTAAAAAAGGTGATAGTAGATAAAGTGTGTTTATGTTTTTATTGTTGTTATTGACGATATCTGTTATTATTAAGAAAAATTTTTCAGTCCCTTGTAAAATTTTAAAGAAAACACTGTTTTGCCGTGCAGCAGCATTCTCCTGTTATACTTGCAATTATACTGTAACACTGCAACAGTTGCATGAGATCCAGAAAGTAAAACAGAGTTTAAGCTAAAATGATGCTGACTAATCTGTTCCATTGTCCATGCTGTATGAACACATAACCAAGGAAAGCAATTTAGACTTTTTAAAGACCTTGTGCCTGCTCCTGCCCTCGCTGAAATCAATGGGCAATCTACGATTAGCTAACTGTAGTTAACAGCAAAGTAAGGGTACACGTGCCTGTTCAGAACAAACCATTACAGGCAATGTGCTGTCCTACCCCAAGTGAGAGGCAGAACTCCAATTGAATATAATGGGCCTAAGGTTTCACTTCCCTTATTGAAGGGTGATTAAAGGCTGATAGATATTGTGTTAACCTTCTGAGAACCCGTTTGAAAGGTGGGAATTTCTAGGCTAATACAGTTTTTTCCTGCTGCTAGAAAAGCTTTCTGAACTGCCTGTTCACCTAACTTTCTCCTGTTCTCATTCATCCTTCCACATGCCTGCATTTCTGCTCTTCCGCCTCTCCCTTCAGTGTCTATCTTTTACTTCCCTGCTCCAGGAGGGGGCAGGTGAGCCATTCCTAAGGGTTTTGGTTGGGTGCAGGTCCACAGCAAGACCTTCCCTTGCATTCTTTTCCACCTCTTCCAGCTGATCATGCCTTATTTTCTCCCTCCCTTCTTCTGTCTTCCCAAGCCACATCCCTCTCTAGAGTCCAAATCTCTCTCACTTTTCTCCAAGTACAGCTCTGAAGGGCCCACACTTCTGCCTTGCTCAAGGACTATTCTTGTGAACTCTTGTCAGGTCTGCCCTTTACTGCCTCCTCTCCTCAGTCTCTCCCCAAGCCGCCTTCTCTAGCCCCTCTCTAAGGGGGATCAGCAGCAAAACCCTCTGCTTTTGTCAGCAAGCAGAACTAGGTCTTCTGCTTTCTACTTGCCATCTACTTCTGTCATCCCCAAAGGTCCTTTCTGTGCTCTTATTGCTGGAGTGTGTAAGTTCAGCAGTTCAGGCAGTTCAGCAACTCCATTACTGTTCTTTCCCTGTGTCACACGCCTGTAGCAGAGCCAGCTCTTCTGCTGCATGTCCTCCCTCGCGGCTGGGGGCTATATTGGCAGCTGAGCAAAGAAGCTGGCTCAGCTGCATGCTGCTGGCTGGGAGCTCCCGACAGCTCTAACGCTGTTGATTCACCTACAGCCAGAAATCGATCTAGGTCTGCAACCACCAAATGAGGAGACCTAGAGACAGAGGGCCTCTGTCAGCCTTCCTGAGCATGGCCAGGACTGGGGACAGCTTGCAATTGAAGTGTGGTCACCAGTATAAGCATCCAGGCTGCACAGTTGCTTCCTTTAGTGAAATTGTCTCCAAAGGGAGAGAAAGAGAAAGTTTTGGTTAGCAACAGTAATTATATGGTACCCTATGGCTGAAATCACTATGTCCAGATGGAGGATGGGGGAAGAGAGACATACTGATGTCTTCTCCACTAAATTAGTTTGAAAGGATTAGTATTTCCACCATATTCAACCACATGCAAGTCCTGACATAATCTCTAGAGCCCCCTCCAATTACTGCTGTTGATAAAATGGAAACAAGGAACTTCCAAATTTAATGGGAAAGAACACGGCCTTCTGAACCCCAGCACATGTTGAAGGTTGGTCTCTTTGTGTGCTATAAAGACTTGCTGACTGTACAATGAAGCAAGAAATGAGAAATTCCAATGAGCTTTGCTGCATAAAAGTATAATTGTAGCATATGTCAGTATACTGATACTAGCTTGTTCTAGCTAATAAAAAAAGGGAAGATATAGGAGAAAGGGCTTTAGCATAGCATACACTAGTGAGCTGTGCTCACGGTCTCTGGAAACCCTGGTGACACAGTCCAACACGCAGTGAAAACTGCATATGAAAGCTTGTTTAACTGCAGCTTCCCCACCTGTTAGCCCTGCTGGCAGGATTAGCTGGAGGTTAAGCCAACATGTGTTACTATCCCCCCTTGACTTTGCTGTGTAGTCATTTTGCTAAATCCATGACACCTTTGTAAAACAGTATTATCATCTTCTCTGATCGATTTATGGGTGAAGGCTCTCGTTTATAAATTTTGAGGATTTATCACCTTTAGTTGGTGTCTGAGATGGATCAGTGCTGCAGCAGCACAGAGGGGCTGAGGGAAACATTAAACTGCTGCATTGCTTACTCTTGAGGACATTAATTTGTATAAATACAGTTCATTTACATATCTTGTAAACATGTAATGCTCTCTATTAAATTTATCACTGTAAATATCTAAATTAAATTTAATCCATTAAATTTTAAAAGTTATATTAAAAAAACCCTATAAATGGAGAGCATTGCCAATAAAAAGTAATAACATTGCCACATTTATAATGCTTGAACTGCTGCAGAAGGATGAACCTAATTGGAGCAATAGAAGCATAACACCATTTTTCAGAGAGTAAGATTGTCCTAGAAGGGATATAAATATTGGCAATTCATGGTTAAAACTAAAGGCTTTGGGGTTTTGATTCCTACCTGTCTCCTATATAGCCAGCTGTACAGACACATTTTCCTGTCACGGGATCACAGTGTCCTCCATTGTGGCATGGACAGTCCTGGCTGCAGTTAATTCCAAATGTTCCAGGAGGACATGGCTGTGCACACACCAGTCCCTGGTAAGGTTACAGAAAGAACAATATTTCAGTCAACATTCATAATGCAATAAATTTCTATATGCAGCTTAGATATTTATTGTCCTTCTTGCTGAAACTAGATCTAAGTGTAGCAGCAATATTTTTTCTGTTTAAGATGGGTTAAAGACAGTCTCAAAATCCTGCTACCAGAGTAAATGCCTGTCTAGCCTATCTCCAAAAGGGATTTTTCTCACCACTGTACAGGCATTGATAACTCTTTCTTTGGATCTTCCCCATAAACTGCAACTGGAGTGGTAGGATATTCACTGCTCCTTGAATAGACGCAGGAAGGCTTGGGAGAGGTTAAAGGCAACCAAGCTTCATATGTGCCGGTGGGGTTTTTTTGTGAAATAGAGTCAGAAAAGTTGTTGGACCTACCCTGGGTAAGTGTCACAAAGTGAACATTTGGGAAGAGGGGGATTGTTGGAAAGGCTGCACTGGGAGGATGAAGTTCTGCTAGTTGTGATAGTTTATGATGATCTCCTCTGTTCAGACAGCTCCACTTCATCCCTAGAAGACCAAATCCAACTGCTGGAGAAGTCCTCTAGTACTCTTCAGAGCCTACCTACTTCATTCCCTCTATCCTCATCCACCCCCCCTCACTCATCTCTTCAAGTAGTACAGGATGGCATCTGCCAGTGTTTTGCCTAAGCCATGGAGGAGGCAGGTTGGGAACAAAAGACTGGGACAGTTGGAGAAAGCCACCAGTGATGACATAGAAGCAACCTAACTCTCCACACCAGCAGTGCACAGAAGAAGGCCAGAAGAAGTGCTTTTGCAATGGAAAATCTGCCTGAACACTGGCTGGATGCATTATCCAGTATCCTTCCAGCTCCTTATCCCCAACCTTGGAGGCTTATCTCAGTCCCTGACCTGCGAAGAAGTGATTTTGCAATGGAAAATCTGCCTAATCCCTGAACACTGGCTGGATGCATTATCCAGTATCCTTCCAGCTCCTTATCCCCAACCTTGGAGGCTTATCTCAGTCCCTGACCTGCCTCAAATCCACATCTTGATGGCTACCTCCTTCCCCCCATTTTATGCTCCCAGCCCTCTGCTCTCCTGCCTCTTTATTCCAGTCCACCCAAAATCCTTGTTGCAGACTCCCTTTTAGTCCTCTCCTTCATTCAGACCCAAATCCCCATGTCTGAGTTGTTTCCTCCTTCCCCTCCCTGCTTAACCATCCCTGAAAGTGAAGAAAAGAGACTGTCATTCTTGGTTGCACACTCTGGCACTGCTCATCAGGAAAAGCAATTGCTGGGCAAGCCTTGTTCCAGCTGTTCAGCCCAGGCAGAGAATGCTTACCATGGGTTGTGTCTTTGGAGGATTTATCTGCCAAATTCAGGTGTTTTTCCCCCAAGTATCACATAACGTCCCCTACCAAGTATCAAGGCCTTTCAAGGATTTCCCTAGACTTTCTTAGAAGTTGTATGAATGTTTTTTTATTATGTGAGCTAACATAAAATCCGAGGCTGGCATCCAACTGAGTAACTTCAGCCAAAACAAGTCTGGCAGTGCTGTGATCTGAAGATGGGGTCCTATAATGGAATATGTTTGGCAACTGTATCAAGTGATGCTGCTGCCAGTGCAATGCACAGTGCACAGTGTTTGATAGAAATGGTGGTTTTCTGTCCCTATTATTATTTTGTTTTAATCTCTCAGAAGTCTTATTTCCCCAACCAAGCCTCAGGGGCTCTGAGTTTTGAACAAGGCACATATTAGACAAAACTTATACAAAACATAAAGCAGGAACATAATGGCTGCTTTCACTCCTTAGGGCTCTCGCTCAACAGTTTAGGAAGTTTAGCAGTATCAACAACCCCAAAGTGGAGAGGCTGCTCTTCAATGTAATCACAAAAGATACTTCAAGCCTTTCCTAACCAGTGATAGGTGGCTCCTTGGCTGTACAATAGACAGGTTGGCCGCAGTTCAAGAACATTCAGATTACAGTGTTAAAAAACTGGTGTCTCTGGACTTGAGTAATACACAACACTATATATCAGAAAATGTAAGTATCCATTTATCTTGATAATAAATACTTTCTCTCTTCATGTCTCAAAAGGAACAGGATTTCTATCAACAAATGATGAGAAAGCAATACTCTGTGATGCATCCCCCTGGAGCAAAGAGAATCTTTAGGCATACTTTTTGCATTAATATGTACTAAGGGAATCCAAAACATCCCTCTCTGGAGGATCAAATGTCAGACCAACGTTTTCTGCTGCTTACACATCCAATCAGTAAAGTTCACCCCATCAGCACCTTTTTTAAGGCCCTGATCTCATCAGCTTCTGCTTTTGACATTGTTTGCTATATTATTACCATTTTGTAGTATAGAAAAGATTTTTTTTTCTGCTCCATTTTTTCACACACCCCCATGTTTAAAAACCACAACAGAAAGAAAAATAGACAAAAATACAAATTGTAGTTGCTTCATGAAGCCCAGAGGCAACGAGAAAGAAGTGATTAGCAGAATGTGTTGTATTAATATGGCACCATGATGCAGAGCCGTGAAAATTGGATCTGGGACCAAACAGGGTGTGTTGCCAGTGACAAATGTTCTGTCATGTAAGGAAAGATTGCTGCTTTCCTGAGCATGGAGATCTCGTCCTTCAAAAGTGTTTCTGAGAAGCATTGTAAATGCTAAATTTAACTTCTCTCCCCACTTCCTGAGAGTGCTTGGAGAATTTAATACTGCAAATGAGAAAGATGTGTAGAATTAAACCTGTAAATTGTTAATGAGGCCCTAAAGCAGCCACCCACTAACTCCCACAGCCGCAAAGACACAGAAGTGGTAAAAGCCCAACATCGTAATATGCTGGAAGCCACATTTTGTTGACTAGTTCAACAATATATGCTGTTAGCCATCATCCTCTTGGTGAAAAACCCATGGGACAGTAAAATCTCACAGGACACAGTTCGTATAACTTGTTGTGCTTCTGGGAAAGTCTGCACTGGGTGGGAGGAAGCAGGAGGAAAGAAATGTTACATGTAATAAAAGAATCAGGCTTTGAAGATGGCAGATCCAAGGAAGAACCTAAGAACCCTAGAATTTCCTCCTATTCAACTTATTGCCTCCCCTTGCATATCGCACAGGCAACCAAGCCCCTAAGGGAGCTGAGCTGCTGTTAATAAGCTACCCTAGGAAAGGATAAAAGTCTCAGCTCATCCAGCAGCAATAAAATCCAAGTGGATTTGCACTTGTATAAACCCAGGGAGGATTCTCTCCTTCCAACACGATGGTATATTCAATACATATGTGCAGTCTCAAGCCTCAAAATCAGCAAGTAAAATTCCTGATGTCAAAGAAAGACTATCCATGGTGTGAAATAAAATGAATGCTGTCTAGCAATCCCATCTCGCTTGCTAGTTTACAGCCCACTCATGTCTCACTTCCCAAACCATTCCAACCACCAAGAGTTAAAAATATAGCATGAAAAAATGTTTTTTTCTCTCTCTGTGTACTGAATTACCAGCTTTTCATTAAAACCCTGGAGAGACCCTTTATACTTAAAATCTCAACATTTATAAGCTGAGTGCTTTTACTTATCATTTCAGTTTCTTTCCCTGGAATACTTGATATCTCTCTTCAGTTTTCAGTTATGCTTGTTTCAAACATCAGTGGCTAACTCTAGGGTTTCTCTGGGGACAAAGCAGCCAACAAAACAGTTTTCAGGAAAGTCTCTCTGGGCCACTGAAAATGCAGAGAAGAAACTCCAAGCTGTAAGGAACAGGGCAGAAGTGGGCCAGAATACATGACCACAGATGCTGTGCAGCCCCAGTGCTGTGGTTCTTTAGGGTATATGCTGTATCCTAAAAGACCTCTAAAAACTTCCTGCTCTATTCTGATATTCTTATATCTCTTTAGTGATTTTTTAACTTTGAAAAAAAAGAAAAAACTCCTGATAAAATACAGGTAAGAAAGAGTACAGCAAAACAACTCAGATCCTTAGAAATAATGGCATGCAGAAGATAAAGGGTGGTGCAAAAAATACCCTAGAAGTATAATAATTTTATGTTAATCACTTTATCAATCACTTCTTAGGGGTAGTGCCAGAATGGACTGATAGGCCCTCAAAAATACTTGAATTGCTTCCTTTATGCTTTAGCTCCAGTACTCTTTAGGAAAGAACCTTTTCTTTGTTTCCACTGAATGCCAGTTGAGGGTAAGGTGCCATATACTTACTTAAATTTCTGAAAAGTTTTGCCTGCTTTGTCATTTGAAATGGAATAACATCATCACCACCTTTGCCATGACTGGCCAAGTTAGAGAGACTCTAACTCTTCAGTTAGAGAGAGATTTTCCATACACAGCTTCCACCAAAAATTACGGGCAGCAATGTTCTTCTCCCACGTTGCTGCCTGATAGCCACCAGAATCTCACGGTTGGTACTTTTTAACTAAAAGCAGCTGTGTGATCAAATGGAGGCAGCATTTGCTGTACTAATCTAAAGGAACATAAACATCTCTCTCAGCCCTAGAAATGTTTCAACAGGTATAAAGCCCACATCAGAAGCCATAGTTGTATGATGATCTTCAGGGTCTTCCACGTATTAAAATAAAAAGTCACAGTACTTGTATGCATTAAAATCCAGCAAGATTGCCAAGAGACTAATTGTCAAATACAGGAAAAATGCCAGGAAATTTAGTACAGCTAAATGGTATGTAGGCCTGTGAGACTTGGCAAACCCCAAGAGAGTTAATTATTACATTATTGATAAAGTTCAGGACTTCTAAAATGTTTGGCCTTGCTTTCTTGACACAAAGGATTAAAGGTTAGGGCAATTTGCTCTCTCCAGTGTAACCCCTGATGCAAGCAAATCTATTGCAATCAATGGGAATTATGCCTGCGTAAGGACAGGACACTGAGCTGGTCTCTGTGTCCTATGTATAGTCCTGCTTTAATGACTGCCTGAGCCACTGAATTCCCCCTGGCTTCTCCCTCTCCCTCTCTCCTGAAGGGGAAACAGGACAGTGCTTCTGACAATGTTGAGCTGAGCTTTGAGTTTTCAGTCCCGTGTGAGGGCAGCGTCTAAGGATGCAAGGAATATTCCAACAATATTCTCTGAACTGTAATTCAAAGACAATTTTTTTGTCTCTTCTCCCACACAGAAGTGTCACTGCTTTGTTGACTGTTGTTTGTTTAATGCTATGATGGTAGCTATCGGTGGCAGACTGGTGGCCTGTCTGTGTAAAAGTACTGTGCACACATAACAAAGGTGGTCCCAGTTTCAGAACCGTTAGAGCCTCGTGACAAGAAATAGCAGATATGCATCACAAGCACACAGGGAAGGCGTCTGCTGAGACAGTGAACAATTAACTTCCTATTCCAACTTCTAAATGAGGGATGAGTATGAACAAACTACACACCATCCATCCAGGAGGACAGGAGCACTCTCCAGTGATGTGGTGGCAGACTCCCCCGTTCTGGCAAGGGCAGCGCAATTCACACTGAGCTCCGTGACTGCCTGGGGGACAGCGCTCTTCACACCTTTGTGGAGAGAGAAAAAAAAAAACCAAAGAGATCATTTAAAAGAACTTACAGGAAACAGAAATGAGGAAAATCCACAACAGAGGTCATCATGGAAGTCCTTATGCAAATTATGAAACCTCAGTAAGCCTCAGCTGGCATTACCAATTAGCCAAGATTTCTTTTATTTCTGCTGGGGTTATTTATGTGCCATGGATCCAGTTCTGTAAGGCTGATGCATGTGTGTAATCTTTATGCACGTACCAAATTCCACCCATCTCAACAGAACAACTCATATCCATTAAAATAGCCCAGGAAAGTAAGAGTTGCAGAATGAAGCCCTCGATGTGACTTATGTGACATGGCAATAAAAGAAGCTGCAAATAGAATAAAAGGATGGGATTAAAACGCTTGAAATGTCTCCAGTCACTACTAAATGTTAACATTTGCAGTGTATAATGGACTGGCAAGAACTCAGCATCATTTAAAGGCTATTTAAGCTCTCTCAGTACTCATGGGGGGCCAGTGTAAGGCTAGTCCCTGCAAAAACCAGCATCTCCTACATTTGCACATTGGTGCTTTTCAGCATCGCTTCTTTCTGTAATCCCAGGTTCTGAAACTACAGTAGGTTCTTCCCCTAACCGACTATCCTCTGATGAGGATGTTCCTACAACATATCAGTGGTTGGCCCTGCAACTACTTACTGCTGAGAAATGACATACTAATGTCAATGGGACCACTCCTAATAGTAAGCAGAGTCTTTAACAGTGAGTGCTTCCAGGACTGAGGCCACAAGTCTATGAGGAAATCAGGTATTAAATAAAATATTCAAAAGGCATATCACTTATTTATGAGGGTTAATATTATCTTTATTTTTTACCTTCCCCTTCATGCAGGTCAACAAATAATATTAGATTGCAAAAGTATTAAGTCACCTCCAATCAAATTCAGTGACTAAATTCTCTTTTCCCCTTAAATAATTTTGAAAAACATAATTACTTCTGAAACTACTGAAAGATCTCTAATGAGAACTGATGTTACACTGTGGGCAATTTTAAACAAGGAACTATTGCTTGCTGTCCTAAAATTAATATGCAGATTTTGTGAATCCTACTGGTAAACTTTCAGTGTGGTGGGTGGGGATTTAGCTACATGATTCTCGTTAAAGTTAATAGGAGTCACGCCGCTAAATCCCTGCTCACTATGCTAAAAATTTACCCCCTAGATAGTAAGATGATATAGTTAACAATAATGCTTCCTCAGTTAGATTGAAAGTCAAATAAATTGGAGATGGTAAGTCCCATTTGATACTGCACTGGACTGCTAATGAGTTGAATGTCCAATTGCTTATAAAACTCAACTGTAATTTGGATTGTATTCACATACTGAAATTAGGAACAGGTACAGTTGTACAGGCTGGAAAACAGAAAGAATTTTTAAGTTCCCTTTAGCACTAAATTTTATTTTATTATGCAGACAGGTATAATTAGCAGTAAAAGAGATTTCCTTTATTTAGTCTCTCTGAAATTTTGTTACCTGATTTCTACAAAGGGAAGTGTATAATATAGAGATTGTGTAAATTTTGCCAATTACTCATTGCGTTCAAAGCAGTCAAAGCAAGACTGTTAAATGACGCGGAGGAAAATACGCCTATCGTTGAACTTACAATACCCCCGTGTATCCAGGAGCACAGTGACATTCTCCTGTTTTATGGTCGCAGGTAGCTCCATTGTGACATTGGCATTTAAACTGGCAGCCCTTGCCGTAGCTCCCAGGGTCACAGAGCTCTTCACAGCGCCATCCTCGGTACCCATCTGCGCAGACGCAGGCACCCGTGATGGGGTTGCAGAGAGCCTCATTCTGACACTGGCAGCGGTTGCTGCAGTGGGGTCCCCAGTGATCGCTATCGCAACCTGGAAAACATACAGTCATTTACCAAGATGATTAGGAAAGTGCATCGCAAGCATCTCATCTCAGCCTCTCATGCTTAGGTTGGCAAGCAGGCAAAGGCACTGTTAATACCAGGAACTTTCTAAAGGGCCCTCAAACTTTCTAAAACTACCCCCCTGATCCAGCAATGTACTTTAGCATGCAAGGAGACAACAGCACTAAATTTGAGGACTTGTTTAACACCCTTATTGGATCAGGACCTAAATCTTTTAATATCCTGTTTCTTAGTGCTCTTAGATAGCTGGAAGGAATGAATTTATAGTGGAATTAGATGCAGAGGATCACATCCTGACTGCAGTGTAGTTAATGGCAGGTAGTATTGCCAAGCAAATCCTGTAGATTTAATAATGTCATCAAATATTGTTTCTTTGCACTGTTCCCATAAGATAATAAATACGATAATCTAAAGAAGGCTTTCTCCTTTTGGTGTTGCTTTTTTTTGTTGATTTTTTTTTTCCCCTGGAGTAAAGTGATGGTAGGGAAGAAAATAACACTGGAGACAAGATTTCATGAGGCTGCTTAAACCAGGCTTAGGGATGAAAGTACGGAATGTGTATGTCAGCTAATTTCTGTGCTAGTAACAGTATGTACTAGCATTACAGAAGGGCCCCAAACCCTATGGCCATTGACACGGAGGGGAGGTTCCCTACAGAATGCTTTAAAGCACAGTGAGAACCCTTCACATGACAATCCTGCCTGATATCTTCTTGTTTGTGGACCATATGCAGGATGAGAGAGGGAAGTCAGCGTTACAGAAACAGCTTAATCCTGATTTGCTATAGAAACAGCAATCAGCACCTGCAAAACGCCCGTTTAAGATGTATGCACACTAGACAGCTCAAAGCAAACAACCAGAGGTTAAGGTTTCCTCAGTAAATGGTGAGCAGAAAACCAAGGATTTCTTCAGTGATCCTACCCTCTGCTTAGCAGCCTTTCAATATAGCTATATCAAGGGTGAAGAAAATCACCATTCTATTCAGAATAGAGTTGCTGGCAAAAGCTCTGGTAAAGACGCATTACAGATCATTTTCCAGGTACAGTGGGTTGTGCTCAGAGAGCTGGTTTCAATTATACCAACAACAACTCTTCTACCAGTGTAAAAATCCACTGCTATGCAGGAAACGAGTGTGTAATCCCAGCAACAGAGCTGTCTTCACAAACTCTTTTATTTGCAAACATGTAAACTAATCCCCAGGTGACACTCGCTGCTTCTCAGGCCTGGATCTCTGTTTCCACACTTAGCAAGGTAAATGTAAAGCCCACTTAAGCCTGAAGCTCTTGTCCTAGAAATTTCATAGCCCTTTCCTTCTACAATACGTGGCTATAAACCCACACTGGATGACTAGATCTATCAGTTAATTTGGGCAATCTTTTTGTCCTTCTTATTGGTCAGTCTGAGGATACTCAGCAGAAAAAGAAGAGAAAGAAACTAGCATTGCTGATTACCAATTTACAAACTTGTGTTTCTTGAGCAACAGTGTTAAAGACCAAAATAAGAGAAGACAATTCCAGGGCCTCCAGAAGGATCTGCAGGGTCTTACAGGATGCACATGCAAAGAGAGATGGTTTCATGCCCTGCAGAATGCAGAGCATGCAACATAGCCCTGTGCATGATCCTGCTTGTGCCTCACACAAGATATTTTATTGCTTTGCCTCATTTTTCCCACAGCTGTAAACAGGGATGATAGTTCCTCAGTAACACCACTGGGAGCCGAGCAAACAAAATCTTACTCTTTATAAGTCTTAAATTATTACTGAGAATCTGTGGAAAGAAATGACCTATCTTTGTTTCACATAGACATTCGCTAAGACTCTGTAAGCCTTCTGGGGCAGGGAGCAAATCTGCTGGAGCTGATGGAGTTTCCCAGCAATTTCCGTTCCAGAAACACTGATTTGTTTTCTGTAGAACTGGAACATCAAGGGATGCAATTCTGCACCTCCACAAAGGGTACAAATCTGAACCCCACAAGCATAGCCGATAGCCCTTTACATGGGGAAGTAGAATGCAGGAATACAACTTAACCCTGCCTGCTTCAGGGACTTCAGGGATTCCTACGTTACCACACCTCACATTAAAGCCCTGACTGCCAGACTGTGGGTTGCTCTGGGCTGATATAATTCCAGCTGCAATTAATTTGCTTAATATGAATAAATAACACTCATTAGAAGATGTGACTTATATCCTTGGTCTGCCATGTCTCAGGTGAGTGCTCCAGTCATCAGATTTGTCTGCTCGGTTTGTGTCTTTCACTTTGAAAGAAAGTGAAGGAGAAAGCAAACCTTTTATAGGAAGGGAAAACCATTTCCCATCGTGAGCTCAAGCATCTTGTTTCACATTTACAATGTCTGCCCCAAACACAACTCCTTTTATGTAAGTCAATCTTATTTGAACACTTATTTACTATTGATATTTGGTCACACGCTTTCTCCCTGTACCAAATTTCACTCCACAATCTAGCCAAAGGTAAGAGCAAAATGTTGAAGAGCAGAAATTCCTCTAATTGGTTGTAAAATCATAAAAAAACCAAATCTGGATAATAAAAGAAGCCTGCAGTGACCAGAAAACCAGCTGACAGTTAGACAGATTTTTCCAAAGGTTTCTAAGTACAAGGCATCAGTGAGTATACATTGCAACATTCAGTATGTTTAGCCCAAAGTAGCTAGCCAAAATGTTTTAATTATCTATGAAATGAAACAGCTTGGCATACCAGATAGCTACTAAGAATGTGAATTTCAAGGGGATTTGTTAGGGAGAGAACATAAAAATTAGGATTAAAGTACACCTGAATGCTCATGGAAGACACAGCAAAAAATAGAATTACAAAAAGATGAGGCTTGTACTGCGTCTCATTTACAATGCCTGATACAGTCTTTGCACTTGTTAGGCTCCTTTTCATGTTCCTAAGATTACAAGCAGGTTTTGACTACAGTTCTCCAAATGGTTTGAAACCGGAGTCATAGTGTATGTGTATAACCAAGGTGAACATAGTATGTGTGTATAACCAAGGTGGACATCCTGTTGTCTCTCTAGTGACAGGATCATATATACACAATGACAACTTGGCCTCTTCTAGATTTAAGTCTTTACCTCAGATGGTAAAGATTTTCTGCTTTTAGCTATCAGTTCAAGCCCTATATATGTCACAATGAGCAGAGCCATTTAACACAGTATCAATTCATCCACTGCTGATTAATTGCAAAGGGAATTGAGTGAAATTCATTGGCAATGTGTTAGTGTAAAATTTGTGATAATGAAATATCATCCTCAATTGATTTTACACTGCAGTTTTCTCACATGAAAATAAGAACTTTGTAGCTCAAAGTTTATCAATACCTGTTGGTTTTCTTTTCCCCTTTCCTTTAAGTCCCATATTGCAGTGACAGACTGTGGAGTTGCAAGTAAATTCTCTACCTATGTGATTTCATTGGGACATTTTGCAGTATTTATATTGTGATAACTCATAGATCTGCACTGTGGTAACTTCTGTACCTTTACAAAGGTATGCAGATACAGAATTGATACGCTAAATCCAAGTACTTATTCATAGAAGTAATTCCACTGAGCTCAGTCAGACCACTCACGTGAGACTACTCAAGTGCGTAACTAGCTATGGGATTGGTATCTAGTAGTTCCAGTTAGAAAATTAAAAAACAGAAAAAACCAAAGACTTCAGCAACCAGGACATATTTTTTCTATATACATCAGCGTGGCAAATCCTAGCTGGTGTGTGACAGTGATTCCAGTTTCTGAGATATAGGGCAAAGCAACCTCAGAGCCACAGAAGTCCGCTGCACTTCAGGATCATCAGCACCACTTCTCCTATGGGCACAGAGAGGCCATTTTAAAATACAACCCAAGCCTAGCACGGTCTAATCCTGCTCTTGTTGATAGTCTCTATGTGTTACCATAATAGAGATAAATAATAATAGCAACAACATGTGAACAGAAAGCTGATTAAAGGTTACACAAGAGCTACACTGTAAATGCATATGCCACTAAAAATGTCAAAATGATACAGAGATTTTAACTATACCATCAATAAGAAAAGCGACCTGAGAGTGGTGAAGTCAGGGAGGTACAAATGCTCACTTTAGACTGCATGTGTGGATGTTAATACCATGAGAGATGAGTCTGAAATAGCTAGCGCTCTCTTGGGAGATGCTACATTAAAGGGAGCTGCCATATTTCAGGTCACGTGCTAATGTTCCCTGGCAAACGTGCTAACTTACTCACTTTTTCTCCTTCGAAAATATGACTAGAGATTAATTGCCACCAATAAAAATGAATATAACTCTGTAAAGGATGATGCTGGGTGCCTAAGCATAATTGCAGTTGTCTGCATACGGTAGTATGACAGGTGAAAGATTCATCCCTCCGTGGAAAGCTTGCTCGATACAGCAAAAGTGTTGTCTTCCTCTCTGCATCCCTACCCCCATCCTGAAGCCTCAGTGGCTTGTCGAAGTGAGGGCTAATTACAGCAGGCTCTGCATATCCGCTGCTATAGTCATGCATGACATCCTGTTACCAATTCTGTCCTGTTAAATACACAACGAGGACACATTGGAAGTGCTGCTTCACTCCCAAATGGCTGTTTTCCCCTCTAGGAATGATTAATGAATTGCTGTGTTCTGGGTCAATAGAGCTACCCAGTATTTAGTGCTGCAGGACAAGTCGGACAAAGATGAAGCAAACACACAAGTTTGAAAATTTAGCAGATAAATAAAAGGACTTCCAAGGAAGGGACGACATTTATCAAGTGACTTATCCCAACGAGAGAGAGTCAAAAGTGCTCTTCCAGTGCTTTTCCATCACTGCACAGATACACTATTAATATGAAAACAGCATCTTCTATCACAGCAACACCAGAATCTGTGGTCTTAAGGTATATGCTTATTTTGTTCTCATTAGCATAAACCTGCATGTGTCTCTTTTTATAGCTAGTGCCCAGTCCTGAATTCTAGG